ATTGATTGGGGGAGCATCCTCGGGAAGAACCTCGATGGCAGAATCAAATCGGGGCACAAAAGTTGTTACCATTTGTTCAGAAGGAAGGGTCGACTCAACCGTTGACAGAAAATCCAAAAAATTCTTTACCGTTTTACGACCAGATGCAGCCAGTGAAGTTCTCTTTTTTCCTCGGGGTGTTTTTTCCCTAGCTGCCTGGATGGCCTCCCAATCTTCTGCAAGAGTTGCATTGGGTCAGTTCGGCACGACAATAAAAGAAGAGTAGGNCGTTTTACGACCAGATGCAGCCAGTGAAGTTCTCTTTTTTCCTCGGGGTGTTTTTTGGCCTCCCGATCTTCTGCAAGAGTTGCATTGGGTCAGTTCGGCACGACAATAAAAGAAGAGTAGGACGGACTGTATTCGAGTAGAGTATGAGCAACTCGGCAGAACAACGACTCATTAAAGTCCCAAACCTTCTGAAGTTGATCCAACTTGACAGAAGACTCAGGAATTTTACCTTTGACGGTTTCACCTATGCAGAAGAAAATTCTCAAAAAAACATAAAACAAAAGCAAGTTAAAACAAGAGATAAAGGGATATCAAATACCTGGCATGCCCTCTTCATAGGGACAACGATACAAAGGAACAGCACTGGCGACATACTCCCAATTCCCAGAAACAAACACTATGTTATTCTCATGGCCTTTGTTGAAATCTGGGAGGTGGGTGACTAAGTAGCGATCCTTTTTCCTCACAAATAGATAGAAACTATCCCCTGCTGCTTTGATAATGTAGCAGTATATGATCTCCCACAGCCCAAGACTCAAGTTCAGAATCTTGTTCAAAGAAGCTACCCCCATGACGATCCTGAAAAATTTCAGATAACACTAAAGGGGGTAGAGCTTCGCAGCAGAGAGTACCCAGATCAGAAGGGAATCAAGAGGGAACCGCATGCCTCCCTCGGTGATAGCTCGAGTAGGGATGGGGATTGATTCCCTTGTACCTGTTAAGGGTTCGTCTTTCCCAGCGACCCCCACTTCTACGTCATCTGGAATATTATATTTGATTTTGAAGGCGGGAACCTCAGAGGGAGTAAGAGGAGCCATTGGAGCTAAAGAAATAAGGCAGACTTGGAGAAGACGAAGTACAGAGAAGCAAAATAGAGAGAGGATGGGAGTCTGAAGGCAGAAAAAGCAAAGTGAGTAAAATTCAAAGAGAGGCGGTTTATGAAGGAAAGGAATCTTAAAGGCAATATTTAAATACTCAGAATGTGCCGCCAAAGCAAAAGGGGAAGTTACGAAGTACAAATAATGATGACGAAAAGATGAAAAAATGGCTGACAGATGAAAAAGGTCTGTTTGACGTTTTTCTGGGGGCAAATGAAGGGGTTAGCCCTCATGATGACACGTGTTACAACATTAAATAAGCTTGCGTGAGCTTGACAAGAGCAGTCATGTGACAAGGATATTCACCCAGTCTTGAGNACGTCTATTAGACGTTTTTCTGGGGGCAAATGAAAGGGTTAGCCCTCATTATGACACGTGTTACAACATTAAATAAGCTTGCGTGAGCTTGACAAGAGCAGTCATGTGACAAGGATATTCACCCAGTCTTGAGGACCGAGCCGAACAGATCAGTTCGTTTGACAAACAAAGGAAGAGTTAGGTTCTCTTGATGGTCGAACTCATCAGCCTGTCCAGCTAAGCAAAGAAAGAGCTTGGCTTGTACCAAAACGAGTCCGTTAAAATGTTCGGCAAGGTAAGTGAAGAGATCAGTTTGTACCAAACCAAGCTCTTAATATGTTCGACAAATGTCAAGTGTGCTCGGCATTCGATATGACCGAGTTGTTTCAAATGATAAACAGAAGGATAAAGATTCGCCTATAATTTAGGCAATCAGATAAACGAATTAAAGAAATTGAAGATATCAAAAGAAAATAATGGAGAAATATCAGCAACTTCCTAAACTTAATGATTGAATCTAAGGAATGTGTGTCACCTTGAATCAAGAATGACTAAAACCCTAAAGGGATGACCACCTATAAAAAGCAAAAGGAACCAAGGGGAAAGATACGCCGAACTCTCCTAGACCTAGTACCATTCTTTTTTTTTCATTACTAACTTAAGAATCGGAGTATCTTCGATTGAAGCACTTCGATCTTAGGCAATTTGTTTGTTTTATAGAAAGGAGTTGAGGAGATTGTTCAGGCTTCGTTCCCAGAAATCGTATCACATATTCACATATAGAGACATAACCAATTTTCTGCCTCTACACTTTCTGTTTCACTTATAACTTTTAAGTTTAAAGAGAAATTTTCTTAAATAGATACTATTTCACAGTTTTTCTTATGCATACGAGACTTTTAATATTTATAAGAAAAATTTTCAAAAATTTCTTGTTGCTCAACGAGACAGTTCAGAGCGCCCATCTAATTTAAAACCCAGAAAACCATGAACATCTGTGAACAAGGACATGAAGGAAGATATTGAGGGAATTTTTTGGGGCTTTGTTTGGATTTTTTGTGAAGTGGAAAACCCAGAAATGAATTGGTGTTCTAGCATTGTTCTATGTTTCACCATGGACGGCCAACACGTAAAAAAAAATTGTTTGGAATTGGTTAAAGGTTAATTTATAAACCAAATATGATACTGGATTAAATAGACTAAGGACATAATAGTCGATGAAACTATATTACATCACCCTTATCCGCAGGACTCATAAATGTGTTGTGCTACCCCTGAACAGGACCGGATACAATCCACTTTGACGAAAATGAAGTTTTTGAGTTTTCTTTGATCTTATACATCGATATGGTTCTAAAAATGTTATATACGATAGGGTTGTAAAGATTTGGTACCAAAACACACCAACAGTATGATTAGAAAAATCGACAAAACTTTAAATTTCTGGTACTTGAAATGGAGGTTTTTAATTCGAAAAGAGGACATCGTCCAATGTTTTTGTAGTCCAGGAAATCAAATATGATGTTTAATTTTAGAAATAATGATGTTTTGGTAGTGAATTTTGAAGTTTCAAGTTTGAATTTTTGTAGGTATTGATGGCTGAAACTTTAAATTCAGATTTACTTCTTTTGTTTTGAAGGAGGATCCGATTTGGAACTATGGTTTATACCATTTTAATCCTTGTTTAACGACCTTTCCAAAAAAAAGATTATACGATCCGTTTGGACGTAACTCGAATATAGAACTAAAAAAGTAATTTTACATAATTTTCGATTAAATTCAGACATAGAACTTTGGGATTTTTTGAATTCAGTTCATTTCATGTTTAAGAATATTAATTGACTTTTTTAAATGAATTTTATGAAATAATCTCATTTGTTTTATTTATAATGCTGGTATTGATTTTGAAAACACTGATTCGAAGTAGGTTTTTTCTATTCCGAGACAAGCATGACTTTTCCATCCTTACATAATCTTTTTATGTAATTTACATAATTATATGATTTTTAAGAAGTGTTTTGATAATTGAGACATGACTAACTTGATTCGATTATGTATTTTGAAAATTTATACATTTGTGATTTTTCAGATTCAATTTTTGAGAAAATGGATTTTGATTTGATATGTGTCCATGGATTGAACAACGGAGGGCTTATGAATGGCGTTGATACCGTAATGGGTGTCAGGTGGTTCATTCACTGGTCATGGAGCCCTAGTGGCCCTCGGGCTTGGGTTACGGTTGACACACGGAGGAGCATATCTTCTTAAGGTAAAAGTCCCTAAATAGATTGGTATGATTAAATTGACATTGTGATGTCATAGAATTGATTACTTGTTCAATAATGTGGCACCGTATTTAAAATATCGAATAAAGAATAATTTTTATTTTGTATTAAGTGAAAATTTTTGGATACTAACGATTATTATATTTTCTAACTATGTTGTTCTGAAACATGACTTACCTATTGAGCTTATCATGCTCACCCTATGTTGTTTATGTCTTTTTAGAATTTATTGAGAGTATTTGGAATATTTGGTTCAATGATCAAACTTGTTTAGACGAGTATGGGTTGGGAGAAAAATTGATTCAGAAATCATTTATTATTTGTTTTGAAAATTTTGTAATGAGTTGAAAAGAGCCCTATTGAATCCGTTTCAAATTTGAATTTGTATCAACTTCACCCCTCGGAAGTCAGGGTTATGAAGAGCAGGGTGTGACACTTGCATTGTGTGGTCACAATAAATATGAGAATTCAAGTAATGAAGAAAATTTCTTTGAGCTTTTAAGATTTTTTGCTGATCACAATAAGAATATTAAAGTTGTTGTGTGAAATGAGTGATCAGTGGATGACACATAATTTGATTGTGTAAATAGAGAGAAGGACATTTTTGGTTGTATCAATAATGGAGTTATCATGTAAATACTTTCAAAATATGAAAACCAGTAGAGATCAATTGTAAATAGTTACGTATTGTCTCATATATATCTTTGTAAAAGCATCAAATTAAAGCTTTTTTTCTAAATTTTTTGTTTCTATACCCTTATATTATATAAATTTTTAATAAATAGAAAACCAAAAATAAAAATTTGTAGTTAGTACCTATCCACGTATAAATTCCTAACTTCGTGATCTTAATTCTCTTGTACGAAGACCTTGGCACAACGTTGTGTTCTGTAACTTTTAGAGGGCATCTTAATAATAAATTACTAATGACACTTCATTTATCTAATTAATTGAAAGAATGGACCCAACCGGGTGAAATGCCATAACCGGTCACCTTCAAGTCATCCAACCCCAACCACTGCATTGTACCTCTTCAACATTCGGCCCCCATGAAATATCCACATCCCCACCACCCCCACCATTTATTCATTTCCCATTCAGTCCCTCTCCCCCTCCCCCAATCCTTGCCATAATGTCATGGGGTCGTTTTTTTTAGTTAATGATGTGTGTGTGTGAGAGAGAGAGAGAGAGAGTCTGCATATTTATAAAGAGGGAAGAACTAAAAAGAAAAGTAGCACAGCACAAAGAAACTCTCCATCCTTCCTCAGAAGTAATGGCTTCCAATACTGTAGCCTATAGTGGCCGTGCCCAAATTGCTCAAAATGAGTCAGACACACCGTTTTCATCTCCTCTCTGGCCATCCTCTCGCCGGAGTCCGTTTTTCTCTTCATCTCCTTCTCTCTCCTCCAATTCATCTCTAGGATCACTCTCTTTCCATGATGATAATTCTCCAACTAGTCCCACCAACCCTCCTTTTAGATTCTCCGGAATTCCGTTTTCTTGGGAACATCTTCCTGGAATTCCCAAGCAACAACTTCTCAAGAAAAAGGACCCTTCATTAAATCTCCTCCCACTGCCTCCGGCTGGAACTCCGACCCCCTCCAAGAAATTCAATTACCAAAAAATTTCTCCAAACCCGAAGAAGTACAATAATGAAAGTTTTCGAAAGGATCCGTTTTTCGCGGCATTGGTGGAGTGTTCTAAGGATGATCGTGGCATTGACACCATTGGTAGTTTTTGGAAGGGCTCAAAGGTATCAAGAACATTAAGTGATCGTCTCGGGTTCACAGCCATGAATGCTTCTTGCAAAAGGACTTGTGCGGTTTCAGAGTCCATAGTTTATCTTCCAAGATCAAGCACCCATGCTCTTTTCAATAGTCGTTAAAGCTAAGATCTATAAAAGGTCCATACCCGTTTGATTCCGAGAATAATCTCTATAGACAAGTGTTTATGTTTATAGTATGGAAACTCACTTTGAATGTGCCTATGTCTCCCTTCTATTTTCTCTCTCTTTCTTCGAAATTGTGTGGTATCTGCGAGAACAAGTCAACATATCGCCATATCACATAGTTACAATTTTCTGTATTAATTTTTACTAGGAACAAGTGTCAAATGTGATTTGTTTAGTATGTGAAGAACTGCGGTGGTTTGTCTTATTTGTAGACCATACGTTCTCTCTCTCTCTCTCTCTCTCTCTCTCTCTCTCTCTCTCTCATACATATATATATATATATATGATCCTTTCTGCATTCCATGTGGTGTTTTTTGGCAATTAGTGAAGATTACATAACCCCATGTGAGAGATAGGCACTGGACCGCAGTAGAAAAGGACAACCACATTAGTTAATTTAATCCACTAGCTAACAAGAGCAAGGGTTTGGCCAATTTGGTGAAGTTCTCTATGTGATTTAGCTGTCTGAAGAACAAATTGGAGATTGCAATATTTTGCTTTCAAAGTTCAAGTAAAAGCATAATTAGCGCGTAAGGAACTGTACCTGTATTTTGTTCTTTTTCTTGGCTTTTCATTGTTGTATGTTGGGCCAGCGCTTGTATTTTTGCTTGACTCTAGTGTTTCTTTTCCATAATCTTCATCAACTGTCCCAATCATGGACCTTTTGGACTGTAGAATCGGGATGTACTGAAAGTCGAAAAAAGCCGGACTCTCTTGTGGTGCTTGAACTTGGAAGCTCAATTTATTAAAGTTCTGTCATCTCAACTAGCTTGATTTGTCAACCCTTATAACTCATCATAATTGTAAAACGAGCTTAGATCAGAGCTGTGTCTAATACACTCTAACAAATTACTTAATTACTTTCTCTCTTTTAGGCTACAAAAACTTGCCCAAGGGAATTTAGAAGTCATAATTTCCCTTGTAGACATCCGAGTTTTGAGATGTTTAATCATCGTCTAGTGATCAAGATCAAGGTCACATTTATACTTAAATCTGTCAAATTCTGGGAAAAACTAAACAAGAAATGAAGGCAATTCAAAGCCTTGGATCAATTCATAGATACAGATCCCACATTACACAGAACGGACTTATATCTTTCTATATAAAACGGGACTTTACTCTAAAGCTAACTAAAAAGAGCTTAAAAAAGAGTTCCCACTAAGGGTGTTGTAAATTTCAATTTTTGTTTTCTTGTGCAGTAGTAAAAGTGTCGAACTAACAACCATAAAATTATGGGTTTATACAAAAACACTTTATTTTTGCATAATCATGAAGTGACACAAGTTAAAAGAAAAATACAAGTGGTCACACAACAGCTACTTGCTTTTCTCTTCTTCAGTTTTATGGCCTTCCTATTTTTTGTGCAAAATAAGAATTTTGGTAGAAACTACAAAGCAATAGGGGCAAAGTGAGCCAAAGTGTCACCATAGAAGCAAGGTTCATGATATAGGTCACATTTATTTGATATTATTCTTTTCAATTTGGTAGGTAGGCTTACTTATTGTATTATTTAATAAGTTTTGCAACAATAAATTATCACGAGTTTAAAAAATATATGCAAATACGGTTCCTAGCTAATTGATCTTATTCAATAAGTTTTAATGGTAATTCAAGGTTAACAAAATATATGAATCCTAGTTGATCTAAGACATGTTTTGCTAGTAATTAGAAACATTCGGAATTTGTGTTATAGACACGAGATTAAAAGATGTGAAAGGCAAAAAAAGGACCCCACGTGCATAGTGGTAGGCAGCAGAACGGCTTCAACCCCTTAAAATCGGATCCTTGCTTGTGGATGGACTTCATTTGTGCCTTTTTACTACTTTTTGTGTTGCATATGATGAAAATTCGAGTGGGCATTTTCTTTTTGTCAATTTTGTAACACCGAAGTGCAAAAAGAAGTTGTGCTATGATGAAGAGAAGAGATCCACCCAATCCTTTGTGCCCAGCTCAATTGAGTGGCAACTATTTGGTATCATGGCAAAACTTTAATTTATTTATTTATATATATAAAAAAAAATCAAATTATGACAAGAGTGCATGAGAAGTGCTCCATGCTATTCCAATTTTTTAGTTGTTACATTAAAAAAAAAAGTTTTATCTAATCAAATTCCACCGACGTTGCTCATGATAATCATTGCTCATCTATTTTTTTTTTTTTGTGTAAACGAAATCAATTCTTATGCTTTTTGTTTCGTATCTCCCTACGACTCTCCATCGCAAATGCTGTCTAGTTCAGTATTGGGTAGTTTTTAACAATATGGAATGTGGTGTATGTGTCTTGGGTGGAGTGTAAGGGTGATACCAAGGCAAGAGATTGTGAAGAGCGTAAATCTCGTGCATTGCACGGTCTCATCTAATTAATGATCGCTTATATGAAATCAAGTCACCTAAATAGAAGCATTCAGACAAGGAATGGGTCAACAATATAGAATATGTCCATACTAACTTTAAGATTAATAATTACAAGAAGGATTTGATTATCAAATTTTATGAGGGTTGTCATCAAGTTCTTGAAATCATCATGTCTACTTCTTTTCTCCCCTTTTGAAAACGGTAATATAAAAATAAGATAGTTGCAAGGATAAGTAAGAATCTAGGTTTGAAGTGGTTATAGAGATGCTTATAAGATAGCATCGAGGTTGGCAGCTAATTTGCTTGTGCTTGTCATGTGTATGATAGGTTGGCTCATGGTGTAACCCACAATGCCCTTCTTTCTTTTATTTTTCGATAAATGGTACTGACACCTCTTACATGGGAATTCCAACAGGTGATTAAAATCAATTTGCATAAGTAGTTTGGTCAAAACTAATAAAAATTACTCAAAAAGAAAAATAAATCGGTAAAAAATTAGGCATAAATGGTCAAAGGTCAACATTTTTTTTCACCCTTTCTGTCAAGAGTAATGTTATTAAGACTTAATTCATTCTGACATTTAGATTAACTGTATGGCCCATCAAACATTAAAATTTAATATTGATGCAATGATTATATTAAAATCACATCATTATATCAAAAAATTAAATTAAAATTTTAAATTTAAATAATATTACTCTTCCGTCAATCCCCCAAGCGCAAACGCTGTCCCATCCCCCAACACTCCAACCCACGCTCGATGGCAACATTGTCCTTGTCAACTCATTTGATCTCTTTACTTTCATTGGGGTGCTGTGGTGGGTGTTGGGGGTTGGGGTGGTAAATCCTGTGCATTGCGTGGGCAGTCTAGGGATGATATATAACAAAATCAAGTCACACGAAAGTTATATTAAAATGGTTCCTTTCACCTATGCTAATAATTTAGACCCCAAAAAAATAAAAAAAAAAACCTATGGCAATAATAATAAAAATAAGGATTTGACTATGAAAGTTTATTATGTGCTTGTCAACTTGCTATACAGTCATCATGTCTACTTGTTTTCTCCGGTCTTGGAAAAAGTAATACAAAAATATGAAACTTTATTTACCAACAAGAATTTTAATAATAGCAAGCTTAAGAATATAATTTGAAGTGTTTATATGAGATACCATATGGAAAGCATCAAGGTTGGCAGTTAATTTTCGTATGCATGTACTATCACACAATACCAGCACTACACACAAGCATTTCCCTTATGTCAGCTACTGTCATGTGATTGCNCCATCAGCTATGGCTCCTCCACAAGGCAAAATATATGATCCTAATTTTCCTCGTCCCAATTCTGGTTAAGGCAGAGGTTTTTCTAGTTACAGGAGTCGTGGATCAAATCGAGGAGGCAGAAACAATTATGGGAACAAATCTCATTCTCAACAATTTCGATCTAATACTGTCTCACAGAAGCATCAGATTTATTGTCAAGTCTGTGAAAAGTTTGGTCACAGTGTTGTTAGCTGTTATCATCACATGAACAGTGCCTATCAAGCTCCATCTCCACCTTCTCCTCCTTTCAATGCTATGGCTGCTTCTTTTAAATACTCTTCCTGCAATACTTAGCAATCACTCTTACCTACTGTTTCTGACTTATCTTCTCAGTATTCTGCTATGACTGCGTCCACTAGTCCCTCCACTCCTAGCTACTGGCTCACTGATACTGGTGCTTCACATCACCTAACCTCAAGACTTGAGGATCTTTCTCTTTCCTCTCCTTACTTTGGAGAAGATAAAGTTTCCATTGGCAATGGTCNTCTTTTTCACCCTTTTTGTCAAGAGTAATGTTATTAAGACTTAATTCATTCTGACATTTAGATTAACTGTATGGCCCATCAAATATTAAAATTTGATATTGATGCAATGATTCTATTAAAATCACATCATTATATCAACAAATTAAATTAAATTTTTAAATTTAAATAATATTACTCTTCCGTCAATCCCCCAAGCACAAACGCTGTCCAATCCCCCAACACTCCAACCCACGCTCGATGGCAACATTGTCCTTGTCAATTCATTTGATCTCTTTACTTTCATTGGGGTGCTGTGGTGGGTGTTGGGGGTTGGGGTGGTAAATCTCGTGCATTGCGTGGGCAGTCTAGGGATGATATATAACAAAATCAAGTCACACGAAAGTTATATTAAAATGGTTCCTTTCACCTATGCTAATAATTTAGACCCCAAAAAAATAAAAAAAAACCTATGGCAATAATAATAAAAATAAGGATTTGACTATGAAAGTTTATTATGTGCTTGTCAACTTGCTATACAGTCATCATGTCTACTTGTTTTCTCCGGTCTTGGAAAAAGTAATACAAAAATATGAAACTTTATTTACCAACAAGAATTTTAATAATAGCAAGCTTAAGAATATAATTTGAAGTGTTTATATGAGATACCATATGGAAAGCCTCAAGGTTGGCAGTTAATTTTCGTATGCATGTACTATCACACAATACCAGCACTACACACAGGCATTTCCCTTATGTCAGCTACTGTCATGTGATTGCATTGGGTTCAGTTGCTG